ATACAAACTGATGATTCTAAAATTTTATTATCATAAGACTGGAAAAAATTCAGGGTTTATTTATTTTCATACATTTTAAAAGAAGTTCAATTTTTCAGAAAGTATAATAGATACAACACATTTGGCAATAAGTGTCAAGATTGTCTTTAATGGTTTTATCTTTAAAGAAGAGTTTCTGAAAATCCTACTGCTTAAGAGCATATACGAGGAAAGAATTTATTTTGTGCAGTAAAAATGTTTTTGATTGACGCTAAAATACCGATCGAGAAATTGTGTGCGCAAGCCGTGACAGGGTAGACTATGCATATACTGCTTTATGCCAACAAGATCCTTTTCTTCCAAAATTTTTTGCATATCATTGCATTATACACCAGCGCTCATTGTGTACAAAAATCATTGTATTCCAAGATGTAATCACTGCTGTTGCGAAAATAATCAATTTAGTAATGAAAGCAAGTTGAGTGCAACATAAAACTATTTAAAGTGCTTTTGGAAAATGACGAAGATACACAAATTATCCATCTTCTTTTGCACACTGAGGTTCATTGGCTGAGCTAAGGAAACATGCTAGAGTGACAGTTTGTTTTGGCAAATAAGAGGTGGAAACTATGACCAGTTGTAAGACAAAAACTCGTTAACATATTAGGCTTTTTTTACCTATGTAACATTGAAACTTAACGAGCTAAATTTGAAATTACGGGTCGGAAATAATCACATTGCTGACACGGTCAGCACGATCAGTAACTTCAAATCAATGTAGAATTGTATAGGTCTTATCTCTTACGAAAATTATTAATTCATTTCCCCAATACCGAAAAAATGGCACTCTGAAAGAACATAATATTAATAGAGTCATATCTTCAGATTATCTCTGCTTTGCAAACTTATTTGAGACAGCTGTAGCAGTATTGAACTATTTTCATCTCAACAATATGGAAAACATGGAATTAGAAATGGTAAGCTTGCAAAATGATGTTATTTTAAAATCTTATGAAACTAATAAGATATTTTGGTATCATAATTTGGGTAATGAGATATCTTGGAACAGAAAACAGTATCTTATTTTAAAGTCGTGTGGTAAAGATTAATTCTTATTGCTCAAGTATCTATAATTATGAGACGGTTTTGAATATGACTTATTTAAAGTCAAAGTATCATTCAGAATTTACTGATTCATACTTAGATAATTGTTTAAAAGCATGCAACTCAAATTATGTTGTCAATTATAATTAGCAGACAAATTACAAACAAAAACTTAAAGTTGATATATCAAAAAAATTTATATAAATGATATGAATTATAATTATTTGTTATTTAGTTCAATAAAGTTATAGCTCTTAAACAAAATTAGTTTGCAATATGACGTTGGATGGTTGATTTATGAAATTTGAATGAGTGGTGCCTGCTAAGAATTTTAACCACTTGCCTGATTATCCCGAATTATCTCGGGTTTGTATATATTGCAGATCATTATTATCCCATGAAAACTCGGGCGAAGCTGAATTTGTTAGTACGATTTGTTTTATAACAGTTTTACTCGGCCTAGAGGAAATGAAAGGAAATATTCAGCTTTGAATGGCAGTTTGTCAAATTTTGTTGGTTGTGCTTTTGCACTTCTTTTGGAGGGACTGGTCTCGTGTTTCCCTATTGTATACATCGGCTTGTGGATTAATAATGTATAAAGAAGGATATATGCGTTGAAAAAAAATAAAATAATGGCGATGATGCAAGCAATGATTTTTCAGGTAGTGATTATGAAGAAGTGGAAAAAAATAATAATAAAAAAAAATAAATAAATAAAATCCAATGAGACGGTGTACTCTGTGCTCCCGTGAAAAAGATTCCAGCGGTAAGCCAGTAAGAAAAGAGACCAGATACCAGTGTAGAATGTCGGGTATCACTGGGTGTTGTCCCTTGTTTCAAAAACTATCATACAAAGACTAATATTTAACTTTTTTCATTTGCCCGAGATAACTTGGGATAATAACCTAATATTAAAACTAAATGCTTTTACACCTTCAAAAAATTAGAAATTCATCTTAAAACCTACAGGTTTTGATTTATTTCGTTTTGTTGTATTTAATAATAAAATTAAAAAATGTGATGATTTTTTTGCAATTTTTTTCAAAAAAATTTGTAAGGGAAGCAGTTAAACTTTTTGTTTTCCATGACCGCAAGGTTGCCAACCCCTGATCTAAATCATCATGTGCACACTATTATATATATATAATAAAACCCATACCGGAAACATTGAAATGATTGAAATTATTTAATTTAAACTCTCCAAAGTAAGGAATTTATTTGCATTTAAATGTATTATGCTGACATTTGTGAAATTAAGTAGAGCATCATGCACAACAAAATAGATACATGAAATTAATTAAAAAATAGTGAAGGGTGTGTAGCTAATATTGCTGTACTTAAAAGCATTATTGCAAAATACTGAAGATATGTGTAGTGCATAGTAATACATATGTAAAACAGCCTAAGTGCAAGTAATATATGTGTACATGCATAAAATTAAAGAACAAACTACATAAATGATAAAAATAATAGTGAATTTACTTTAGAATCTGAAGTTAATAGCAGAATAGACTTTTATAATTGATTCAATAAAATTTAAGAATTTTTCTCCCATGATGCATTTCTAAATAATATTATTTAAGTTACCTTTATCATGATGCCTTGGAATAGCACTTTTAATTGCTTCCCATGTGCTCTCAGTCGTATTTGTATGTGTGCTTGTCTCGGGATCTTTGAATTGATATTGATTAATCACAAAATGCTGAAAGCCCTTCTTCTTCAAACAGCCATATGGTTTTCAATAATCAGATATTGTTGTAGTGCCCCTAAAATGGATAGAAAATAGTACTAAAGCAAAACACAAAAAAACAAAGTTGGGTAAAGTATTGCAGATAGTATTGTGAATCTCTTTTATTAGAATAAAGAACAGTAATTCATGTATAAATAAATGTCCCATAATCTCTGATTTGTCAATGGCACAGTAAACTGATTAGAACTGTAATTTCCAGACCATTGCTGGTGATCTGTTTTAGGCTCTCAGCTAGCAGTCTTTATCAACAGACAAACTGCTGTTAAATTGCCTGTTACCACATACCAGAAATCAATCCTAAAACAAAGTTTTCTCCGAGTTATAACAAGCTGACTGCTTGTTAAGATCAAATGAGGTAATATTTAGTTGGCATTCCTGTCCTAAACCCAATTGTTAGGTAACTCTTCTCAGTACATATGGTTAAAACAGATTGGATATTGAACCTGAAACATGCCATTGTAATTTAGCTTGTCGTAAATTTAGAATAGGTGTAAACATGTGAGAGAGTTAGTATTGAGCCTGCTTATCTTGATGAAAATTTTTGTTAACTTAAATAGAAAATTAATGATTACCCTGTAATATACGAGATTTTTAGATTTGCTTGATTATGGCAAAACATGCCAGACTTATCTGCTCTGAGGTGAGGGATGCTAACATAGAGGATTTTCGAAGGCAACTGGTTAATATCTTTGTGGCACATGGAGAAAACCACGAAATTGGCCATGCAGCCAGTCGATTTGCAGGGATTTCAACCTCAGTCTGCCTCTTGTGAGCCTTAATGGTATTAAGTTATTCTGTATTTATAGAAAACATATTTGAGATTTATTTTAAAAACAAAGTGTTGTTGTATAAATAGATTTTTTAATGTGGTAATGTGTTTTTGTATGTCAGTATGTTTTATAGGGAATGTGGAATTTCATAATGCAACACAGTAAAGATTCTTTTAAGAACAAATTTCGATGTATTCTGTTTCTTCATTTATTGTGCTGTAACATGATGGATTGGTACATTGTATTATTTTATGTGTATTCATTTTTTTTTTTTTTTTGATAAACTAAAATGTGATGAAGAGCCTGAATACTTACTGTGCTGTAGTTTTTTTTTTTTTTTTTTTTTTTTTTTTTTTTTTTTTTTTTTTTTTTAATCTCTCATTATCCTGATCCTGAAATGTGAAATTCTTATTTGTTAATCATACAGTTGAACATTTAATGTCTGAACTAAATGAAATTGTAGCCCATTGTCCTACTAGAGATTTTATTTATTACATTTCATTTTGGTAAAATTATGCAGTTAAAAATGATGCTGAAACTTTCTGAGTATTTGTTCCCTCCACTGAAAAGTTACGAACTTTTTGCTGACTAATTTTTTGTCAAGCTAATCGAAAAAGGCCACCACCATTTCGTGTGGTGGGTTGAGAATTCTATGTAACTGCAATTAATCAATTAAAGCAGGAAATATTGGTAATAAAATACTTAATTTTTTTAAAATTCTTTTTTGATCTGTTGTTCTGCTGATATACACTGCTCTTGCTTAAAAAACAGAGAATTGCATAAACTCATGTCTGCGTGCCTGTCAAAATAGACATGTGCTATGTGCATACCTGAGGTGTTGCATAAACACTTTTTGGCAGCATTGCGAATGTCACATAAACATTTTTGTGACATATTGCTTTGCCTCATGAATGTTTTTTAGTGACTTTCCTGCAGAGGTGTGGATTATCAGAAAATATATTAAAAACAATCTTTCTCTTAAATGAGTATATCAATGGACATTCTAATGTTAATCAGCTATCATAATTTTGAACAGAATAAACTTTGTTAGTACATAAAAAAATTATTAATTAAAAAAAGTACTGCAAAATATTTTTGTTGTTGTTGTTTCATTGTTTGATTTTTGAATCAGTATTCTTCTAAAGCAGTATTTTGAAAGTTTTAAAAATGTAGATGAGTTTTCACATGGCTCATTCACTCGTTATACTGCAAATGTATTTGCTAGCTTAGATGATAAATTACGTGATGAAACAAAATAGATGTGTTAACATCAAAATTTTAAGTTTAAGATACTTTTGTTAATTTAAAAATTATAAAAATAACTTTAAAATATTGACCGTTTTAAAGATTGGATTTTTATGATGTGTTACTAAATAGTGCCTTTTTATATCATATAGATGATAAAACAGAAATGACCGAAAGTAGCAGGCAGAGTACTGTACCCACTGCTCTGCCTGGAGGATATGTGCCTGCTATTCCGACATCTAGCGTTGGACCAGGATCTGGTTACTTAGGACAAGATACATGGATGGCTGGATCAGCCTCCCATCTTGGTCCTCCATATACAGTTATCACAGCTCAATATCCTTCAGAGTTCACATTAGCTGAAAGCATCAGACCTGCCTTTCTCTCACCAGCTTTCAGTGCTGCCTCATCATCACCTCATGGTTTTATACATAATTCTGTAATTGATGTGCGTGCTCAAGGACCATTGTTTGCTAGATCAGTTAGTGGTGGCAATTGTTTTCCAGTCTCATTTGCCACTTCTCATTCTTCTCCTGGAACAGTGTTCACAACTAGTTCACATGAAAGTGATGCTTCCCATCAAAGAACTGTAGAAAATTCCTCTGTGCCAAATCACGATGCTTCAGCTGAAGGACTTTCTGCTCGTTTAATGTCCAAAAGTCCAAGCAATAGTTCTATTAGAAATGTGCCAACTCCTAATCCTCCTTCTCGAGATGGAACACCAGCTGGAAATGTAGGTTACAGACCATGGGAACAAATAGGTGGAGGAACTGAATTTCCTCATAGTCAGCCATCGACTCCACGATCTATATCTGATATGCAGAATGAATCAGGTCAGTTGCAGGAACATTCAAGTGACCCTCCGATAGAAAAAATTAATTCTGCAAATATGCAAGAGATTGAAAATAGAGTATCTTACAAAAACCAAGACTTTTTATCACAAACAGCTCAGCTATCTGATTCTATACAGCCACCAAGGTCAGTTGAGACCCCTGGTAGGCCATCCTCCTGCATTTCTTCTGTGCCTAGCCCTGTAGATATTCAAGATTCTCACTTGATAGAAGAAGCTGTCAATCGGGACAATATGCAGAGAATTGCAGCTCATGCTCAAAATTTTTCTAATTCAGCTCCTGCATCTCAGCGTTTGAGTAATATCAATATGCAGGTTAATGCTGCATTAAGACCATATCCTGGTGTTGTTTATTTTCCACCTTCTAATCCTCAGATGCAGTCTTTCATTTCTGGATCTCAAATGATGGTAGGATATCCTGATGTCAAACGTCTGAAATTAGATTCTGAAATATCAGATTTAGATTTGCGAGGAAACACAGAAAACACATTTCAAGTGCCTTCAGTGTCTTCCACTACTCCTCGTCAATCTATGTCTCATATTCCATCTCATCAAGTGCAAATTGAACATTGGGGCGATCACATGAATCAGCCAGCGGTTCCTAATATACCACCTGCTCCTGAAGTTGAGAAAGTAACAAGAAAGAAGCGAAAACGTTGTGGTGAATGCCCTGGGTGTCAGACAAAAGCAAATTGTGGCCAGTGTGGTCCATGCAAAAGTGTTCGTAGTCATCAGATTTGCAAAATGAGAAAATGTGAACAGTTGAAAACCAAAAAAGAAAAAGTTAGTATTTGTTATTTTTATATTTAGGACATTAATTTTTCAATTATTATAATATTTTATTATTCGGAATTATTTGTACGTCATTATTTCTATGTTTGATATTTTTATTGGTAAATAGCCAGAAGCATTTGGAGGGTGGGACGGTCCTATTTTAGTTCTTAGTGAAGCTGTTATGGAAATTTATATTGGGACTATTATAATTTACCTTGTATTCTTAAATTAAGATGTATAGGTAAAGAAAATGTGTTACTTTTTCATTGGGTTTATATTTATATATTAAAGAAAAAATCATGGTATAAAGTCTGGTGTATTATAGTTGTTTTACATATTTGGTTTCCTATCGCATAAATTTGCAACTTATTATGTCATAAAAAATTTGTTATATTTATGTCTTAATATCATGATTCCGGACATATATTTCCCTTAGCGTTTTTCAATGTATGACTTAGAAACTTGGTAACAATGTAAAAGAATATTTTTGATATATGTTAAGTCATTTGAAATACATAATATAACAGTATTAGTATGTTTATACATGTGTTTTAATGTGCTGTGTGTATTATTCAAGCTGTCATCATCAAAAATAGTCTATATCACATATTTTTGCCCTCCTGGGTTTCAAACATTAAAATTAGTAAGAAAAGGAAGGATGGGCATACACAAGTAAGTACTTATTTGCTTGCTTCCAAAAATGTGATATCTGATGTCTAAAATTGCTTGTCTTTTAAATACTTTATCCGTTTGAAGAAAAAAAGGGGGCTGGTCAGTGCCTAGTTATTGGTATACATGTAAGAGTAGATATGTCTGAAATGCTGTGTTTCAGTTCAGCAAGTTTCAAGAACTGCTGATCAGCCAGTAAGCACAAAGCAGTATTGAGACTGTTTTTTACTTCCGGTACAACTCTGATATACGCCCTAATTTCACCAAATGTGGGGATATGTGTTCTACGCTGGTTTTTGGAGCGATTGCGTGTTATATGGCAACCCTATTGACGTTGGAAAATCTTTTGCTGGAGCTCGTTGGTTCGCGTCATGCTCTGTGTCTGAGAAGATAGGGGGGAAAAAAATAAAATGTCGGAAGTTGTTGAATTGAAGTTCGGCAAAATGAAATATCGTGGTCATCCTGTTGAGGGACAGTGGGTATTTGGAGGTGTGGAAAGAGGGTCTGGGAAATTATTTTTAGTGGCTGTGCATGATAGAAGTAGTGATTTTATTTATTTGTGAACCATAGTATGAATTCTCTGAATTGTGTGTCTGGCTGTCATATAAATACGATAGTGATTACGTGGCAGCATGTTAAAGGCGGTATGGAATTGGTATTTCTGCTGTTTGAAAAAGCATTAATTCATGGTAAGTGCATTTTATCCTTGTTCTTATTTTGTAGAATGTTATGTTCATTGTATTTTTAGTATGAATTTCTGTAGTTATTGTTGTTTTTTAAATTATTTGAAATTTATTTGAGTTTATTTTGTTGATTAGTGCATAGCGTCTAGATTGCAAAGTTGAAACTGAGCGCTGTGTACATGGTATTCTTTGAAATTTATTGTTGTTATGTTAATTTATTAAAGCGAGGTGTGCGTAGTTCGTAGATTCGTTTGTTGCTTAGATTTTGCAGTTCGTAGATGTTTTTTTAAGTTTAAACAGGATGCTGTGTACATGGCATTCTTTGGAATTTATTGTTATGTTAATTTATTAAAGCGAGGTGTGCGTAGTTCGTAGATTCGTGCGTTGCCTAGATTGTTCCATTCGTAGATGTTTTTTGAAGTTAAAACATATCGCTGTGTACATGGATTCTTGTCAAATATTTTTTGGTTAGAAACTTTACGTTTTTGCTATCTAAATCTTTTGTTTTTGTTTCGGATTTGTTGCTTAAATTGTGTGTTCAAAACATGGTTTTTGCATGTGCGAAAACGGCGTTTTTGGAGACATTTTAGGCTTAAAGTTCGAAATGTAGACAAAAAAATTAAATAGAAACATGGCAGCGTGGAGTTTCTCGCCAAAAATGTTTGGTGAAAAATTTGGCGACTTGAGGGCGCATATCAGAGTAGTTCCTTACTTTCTTGTACGAAGTAAAAAGGAAGTATTGTAATCGCGAAAAATTTCGGGTATTGTATTTCAATGAAAATATCCATTTTGACCACTATCGAATGCAATTTAATGATGTTTTTGCATGACATCTGTACATAAGGGCAGAATAAACGATTCTCCCCCCCCAAAAAATTATAAAACTGATTTAAAGTGAATTCTGAAGAGATTTTTTTCGGCGTGACTGTATGCATGTATGTATTTCGCATAACTCAAAAATAAGTAGCCTCAGAAAGTTGAAATTTTGTATATAGTACTGCTATAACATATAGATGTGCACCTCCCATTTTGGTTACAATCGGCCACACCAAAAGTATATGAATATATGTAAATATATAGCCACTCTGTTACTCAGCTCAGTGATCTCAGTTTCTTTACTCTTATATGTTTGTAAATTGTACATTTTTTTTTTTTTTTTTTTTTTTGCTTTAAAAAATTATTGAATTATGTTGTTCTTATCTTCCAGTTAAGGATTTTATGCCGTTAGTAAATCTGTATGCAATATTTTTTAGAATTATCAACAATTTTAAAGTTGTTTAAGTGCCACTAAGCCTAATAATTTTTTTGATGGCGACCATTGCTTGTTTCCCTTTGAAACAGCAGGATAGTGGATTTATTGCCAATCTAGTAAAATATTGTAAAGAAGTAGGAGCAGGTTTAAGAAAAGCTTTGCAGTCATACTTAGATCAGTTTAGATACCTTCCTCGAACAGTATTTTTTGGGCAAAGTAAGATACTTTTCTTACAGTAACTGAGTTTTCTTTCTTTTTCTTTCCTTTGCACCTTTTTTTTTTTTTTTTCCCCCCTTTAACCTTTAAATAAAGTCTTTTTTAAAATAAAATATGTGCTTTATTTTCTTGTACTGTATTTCAACATTAAAAGCAGCTTTGAATGTATTGTTATGAATTTTGTATTTAGTTATTTATTTTTAGTAGAATTATAATTAAAATTGTTTTATTTCTCTGTGCAGTACAGCACGAGACTATTTTAAGAGAAGGCTAGGCAGCAAAAGTAAAAATACAGGAGCACATGAATTTAACATTTAATAAATAGATATCAGAATTTATATTTAATTTGAGTAAATGTAATTGACTACTATGTTAGCTATAACCGTAATTCTTCTCTTTTGCTTTCCAGAAATCTCGAGAAGCAGAAATTACTAGAATCTCTAGTAACTGGTTTAAAAGCCATAAAAAGCCAGACAGAGAGGATCTCATTTCAATTGTTGCTGTTTACTTAGCTGCTGTAATTTTGTTGATAGAATTAACTATCTTTGCGCTGTGGATTGCGTTGTGTTCTAATGCTTTTACTAGTTTAAAGGATAGCTACTGATTATATTTCACGATATTGTGATATTGTACGATATATTTAAAATATCTAAGGAGAATTTCCTGCATTTTGTTTTATTTCTTGTAAGAAGAATAAATTTTATTAATCTTTTACCGGACTTGTGCATTCAATCTATTACGAGCCTGTGCACACACTACAGTGTATTACGTCTGCTTGTTACGTAGTTAAAGTGTCACCATTCTGTTGGAAGAGTAAATGAAAAACATTCTGTTATTTTATTTGGCTTCTCTTACATTATTCATACAGTTTCTGAGATTTTTAAAGAATTTTATCACCTGGAATTGTAAATTTCTGTATTAAGAAAATGATCCATCATAAGCATTAGTTAAAAAAATACAATTTAACAACAGTTTTGTTATTAATTTAAAGAATATATCTAGTGATGTCTTCTTATATCTGAATTATTTAATAAAAATGTTTAATCTTAATAAAAATATGCTAAATTAAAAAAAAAAAAAAAAAAAAAAAACCTTTTTTATAGGCTGCTGCTGCTAAGGCAAGTGGACATATTCTTGTAGATTCTGATAGTAGTCAAAACATGAATGGCCAGACTTCCTTTCAAACGGATAATGATTCTTTGCAGTTACCAGGAACTCCAACTGTAAGTTTTGCCACTTACTCAAAAGTACAAAGCAATATGTTTTGCTGCAAAATGAAAATAAGGTACTCTTCTGTTATCAGCCCCTGATTTAGAAATGTATGTTTGTATACATGTGCATATGTATATATGTGCATATCCCGATAACAGAACAGTGCCGAAAATAATAATGCTGCTAAATTCTTATACATATATCTGTGTTTATGTAACTTTTAAGTAAAAATAACTTATGGATCATTGAAGTATTGCACATCTAAAAAACAGTGTGTCAAGTAGAAGATAAAATCTTAAACTCAAAGTTGTCGTATTTAAAGCCGCAATCTAGTGTACCAACAATTTGTTAAAATTTAAAATAGTCTGATATGTAAAAATGGAAATATATCTTATTAAAAAAATGAAGTATTTTTAAATAAAGGAAAAAAATTTTAAATGTTACCAGTTTAAAAATGCCAGCAGCCTCACTAAGCATTGATTTCTAATTAAATAAGTGGCTAATAACAGAAATATGCTATACTGCAATAACAATATTGAAAGTATGAGTCCCTTGCTTGAAATTTAACGTATTATTGAAACAAGATCAGCCCATAGAAAAATGCTACTAAATCACTAAACTGCTAAGGAGATTTTATGGTCACTATAATTTTTTTTTCCTTGTATTTCAGAGATGATTTTCTGATTTTGCATTTTCTTATAAAATAACTTGTATAAAAATCAGGAGTTTTAAAAGAACCTGCATATCAGTATATTTCACATTAAGTATATTTGGAGTTTTTACTCTTCTGGTTAAAATGATTATATTAAGCTTTAAAATTATAATAGCAATTAAGCCTTAAAATTATAATAGCAGTTCTTTGCTGTATGTTGCATGCAAATTTAGTAAGTGGTCATTCATAGAGAAAAGTGTTGGACAGTGCTATTCCGAGCAGTAGAGGAGTAAGTAATAACCTTTAGCGAATTCCTCAAAGTGAACTGTAATCTAATAAAACATATTTTGAAAAATATTTTTGTTTTGAAAAACGTGAATTTAGGTATTTTGAAAAACTTTTTTGGAAGCAAAGTATGGAAACTCTTACATAAAAATTATACCTGTAAGCCAAAAGTACACAAATGTAGTGTATCTTAATTTGCGTTCATTTGTGATTTGTTGCAATATTTATTACTCTTAATTCATATTGCAGACTCTTTGCTGAATTTAAATTTACTTACTTTAGTAGCATTTTGATTATTTAATATGTTTTTTAAGACAATAAGATAAAATTTTATACTTTATCCTGCAAGCGTGTGCACTGGGTCAGTGACCTGCACGATTAAATGAACCTTTCTCAAAGAAAGCCTATTTCACGCAAGCTATTGACGTCCAGTGTAACTGTGTCTGAGGTTGACCTCTTTATGTTTCCGATGTTTTTTCTGTGGACTTTTAATTCACAGCCTTGATTTAGATCGAATTGGATCTTAGATTCAGTGAGGCTGTTCATATTACTGTTATATAGATGATTTGTGATAGTATAGAAAGTGGCAAACATCTTGCGTAATTTTTCGTACAAGGAAGAAATGTCGCAAAAGTTATTAGATGTATCAACTGGCAAAGAATGTATTGGAGAAAATGAGGATTGAAGTGATCATGAATTATTAGTTCACGTGTTACTGATTCAGAAACTAATTTAAATTCTAAAAACAAGAGTAAAAATGACGTAAATTGCTTTACTGGGGGCAAAAGTTATTGTGAATGAAAGAAAAAAAGAGATGCAGTGTTTTGCCCATCAAAAAAGCACAGAAAACGAAAACGCGCTGCGCCGAATGTGTTAGTGTTTGGAACACATGACAACACTTTATTCGGTGTTCTGCTAACATTTGTTGTAGCATTTTTTGTCTGTGTGAAGAATATAAGTGCATATAAAGAAAATAAAGAATCAATACACAGTAAATGTATACTTTGTTTCTTCTTATGCTAATATATATGGTGACATGCTTCTTTTTATATGTAAGAATGGCAACATGCTCACCATCAAGGTTGCGGGACCACTTCTTGAGTGGGATGCAACAATGAATTTCGAAGAAATTCATTGTTGCATCAATACGAGATGGGAGCAACAATGAATTTCGAAGAAGGACTCTGAATTTTTATGATATTATTCTGCGTTTTATGATGCTATGGACAGAGCTTTCTCTTCTTACTTATTTTTATTTGTGTTATCTTCATGTTAATTATGTTTGTTGTTTTCACTAAATGTCACTAAATGTTACTACCGTTGTCCATAACATCATAAAAAGCAAATAACATCATAATAATTCAGCGTCCTTCGAACTTCAATTTTGCTTCCATCTCGCATCTCCCTCGAAGTGTTCATGTGATCTTGCTTTGCTGGTGAGCATGTTGCCATTCTTGCATAAAGAAATAAGCATATCATTACATATTAGCTCGATTTGTGTTCTTTTAGGAAATTTTATTTCGTAAAAGCATTCGGAGAAATTAAAAAATTTAATGTGCATATTTTTAAAGTTTGATGATGAAATTTATTATTGGCATAGATGTAATACTTTTTTTGAAAATTTATAATTTTTTCTTCATAAAACTCAAACTGGGTCTGCATGCTCTTGTATATATGCTTTTATGTAGCTATTCTGTTCTCTTAAATTATTGAATAATACTAATGGCTGAAATAGTTTTTAATGCAGCAACTTAACCAATTTAATGTGTATTCTTAAGTTAAAAAACTTCCCTCTTATTAATGCATAAGGTAGAGAGTTTTTATCTAACTAATTTGGTATTGATGTGTCTATAAATGGAAAATAATAATAATGTAGTGTTTTCAATTGTGTTCAGTCATGTGAATTTTTCATTTGATATCCAGTGTGGTAAAATTACCCTTCAGATATTATTTATTCGAGTTGAATAAAAAGTTTGGGAAACTTTTGCAACTATAATAGCTGTAGCCTTTCAGTAGATTTTACTAAAAAAAAAACTGGATGTTAGTTGTCTTTCCCATACAAATTACCTCTGATTCCTTTCACTGTGATTAGCTAGCGATGGAGAATTTATTGGCAAATAAATTCTTAAATGGAAAGCAGAATTTGTGGACCCCTAGCTGTAAGAGATCCCAGTAGCATATTAGATTGAAATTGAAGAGTTTGTTTTAGGTAAATTATCTCAAATATACTTATTTATTTGAACACCTCTATCTGGCTGTTAAGTCTAGTGAATTTAAGAACTGGATAGATTTTCTGAAATCGGTAATTTCACTTTTATAATTAACTCAAATAGCTTGCAACATTTTAAGTTTATTTTTTTAAATAAAACATTGAGAAACCCTGGAAGCATTTTTGTGCAGTTAAGATGTTAATAATAAAAACTTATTTAAAATTAGAAACGGAAGTTTCGTTTAAAATCATGCAAATTAATTCCTAAAGGAAAGGATGCAAAAAAGGACAATGGAAATTGAGTTGATTCAAAATATTAGATTACTAGTTTCTACAAATTATCTTAGTAGGCTGATTTGTATGGTATAATCATAAGTTACTGTTGACACCAGATTAGAGGTCTTGCTAGATGTATAATTTCTGCTATATCGTAGAAATCAACGACCAACCTTCCTAGTGAACTGGAAAACTTCAAATTTTTCATATGATCCCCTGGATGAATTTAGGTTTCTTTTTAATGTAATTCTGGAAGAAGAGTTGATTTAGTATAAAGTAAATTTTGATAGTTTATTCTTTAAAAAAATGTATATTTTCATCTCTTTAATGAAATGGTACTATTCTCGTTTTGCCGGTGCAAGTCTCGCCAAGCAGACTTTATTGGCGACAACAAACAGTATACATATAAAAAATGTAAACAAATGTTAGTTCCAAGAAATTTTATTTAAATTTTTTATTTTATTTTTTTTAATGTCGTTTCAAATTTTGTAAAAATACCAATAAATAAATACAACAAATTTTTAAAAAGACGTTAATTTAAGAATTTACTATGCATTCATGGCTCAACATCCTGATTCGCCGTTTCATATCACGTGACCCCAAGTGATCTCATCTCACGTAAACTACGCTACAAAAATCTAATTCTCTCAGTAATTATCTACATTAATTTCAAGTTAAATCTTAATTTGGAATATAAGTTTAATCGCAAGAATTATTTCAATTCTTATGAAAAGCTTACTCAGAAATTATGTAAAACCGCAGTGCTTTACTTCGCTAGTGCATTTCTCAATTAAGAATTGAATGAACTCTTGACCCTTTGCCTTTGCCTTTTCTATACTTTCGCCATCGGGTGAGTGGTGTGATTGCATCCTAATTGACTTAATTACTGCCCACGAATGGCCTCAGGGCATAAAATTGAACTATCTTTCAAAAATTCTATGTAACTGTATGCCAGTATTGAAAGAAACGATCAATCTGATAAGAAATGGCTGAATGGCTGCGATTTGTTTTGAAAATGTAAAAGTTCAAGTAAAAGGTTATCAGCGAGGATATTCCGTTCGGCATCGGTTGTCCATTATTGGCGACTTTATCGCCTGCGCCGGCAAAACGGAAAAGTACCAATGAGACTTTAAAGTGTGAAAATTTCCATATTGCATTTTTTTCTCCATGTTAATTTTAGATTACTTTTTTAATGCTGTCAGAAGTGTTTTAATACAGTACAGAGTCCGAGATCCGGATGTCCAATATCCGAAATGATCTAAAATCTGGACCTAAAAGGACCACTACCAACTTTTTATTTGTGTGCTTTATGCATGCACCCCCCTACGCACAATAAAGCACATGGAGAGTCCCAATTCTTAATTTCACTTCACTAACTAAAATACTTCGTTATTGAAGAAACAATCATTTTAGCATAAATTTGTATGATCAATAATTTGGCTCCATAGCTGCGTATCTGCCTGTCATACATCTCAAACCAAAACATTCTACAGCTACATCATTGTTTTATACCTACTAATATTTTATATCCCTGACTCCAACCTGGCAAATCAATTATTTATTATATTTTGTTTTCATCACTGCATGACAACTTGAGTAATGACTCATGAAGTGATGCCTAAACACTATTTTTATATATTAGTAATTGAGAAACAGTATGGCATGGTATCCTTGTATGTTGACATTACACTTGACGATGATTACAGATTTAAGTTTAAATGTGCTAAGAAATGTTGACAGGAAAATTTAACAAAAATTTCTTTCCATATGCTGAAAGTAGATTTTGTTAATGATAGGCCAAAAGATTACATTTAGTGCTATTTCAATTTAGAATAATCGATTTGTTTTTCACATAAACCCAGAATCAGCGCTAGAGTTCATATAGCTGCACCGGGCCGCTGAATGTAGGGAAGTCAAAGGGAGGCACTTGGTAGCAGAATTTAGAAGCCACAGAGACTGCATCAGGCTGTAAGATATCTAGCGCCGGTCCTTAATAAGCCTTAAGTATATGTGAGAATTTATATATTCAGTACTCAAATAAGCATTAAGCATGTGCAAGAAATATGCATTAAGTATAATAAATAACTAAACTAAATACAATTCAGGCTTAATTGTCTCAGTGTGCAGTAGAAGCAAGATAAAATTTAGCAGAGTAATTGGTCTTTAGTCATCAATCTCATAATACATAGCCAAATATGTACAGTGAACGATAGTTAAATTTTATGGTGATAGTGGTGATAGCAAACCCAAAGGTTTTCGGATATCATAAAAAAGGTGAAATTTTCTAATAAATGGTTTTTTAAAGAAATGTGTAGATACGGTAATAAATGAAGAGGATATAAAAGAAGTTTCCCACTGTGATTACAATGCTCCTCAATCATCAATAAATTACCGTATAACGAAATCTGTAGTATGATTGTAGATCCAGAAAATACCGCTACAGACGGAGTGACGAAAAAATTTCGATTCCCAAGTAAGTCGGAAGTCTGGACACAGCAATTACAGAATTTCAACAATGGAACTTTGTAACTGAATAAGAAATTATATATCAGTCAATAAAATTAAAGAGAAGTATTAGCACAAAAAATGAAGCAACTTAAACAACTTAAAAAAAAATTTTAATAAAGTAAAAAATAAGTATTAAGTTTTTTTTTCTTTTTTTTAAAATTTTGATAACCTTTAGATCATAAGTGCTTCATTATTTCATAAATCGCAATTTCGTATTCTTAATTTTATTATTTCTACATGCCATCTTACTAGATTTAAACTGATCTGATATCTGGAAAAATTCCAAATCCAGAATCGTGAAAGTCCCGACAAGTTCGGATATGTGACTTTGTACTGTATGTATTAGAGATTTGAAAAGTTTAACATATTTAATAGGTAAAATTTTTATTTAAATTTGTGTAAATTGTACATTACTAATTTTACCTGCAAGATTATATTATTTTCTGTATGTCAAAAAAGCAATGTGAATAAATTTAAAAATTTTTATTTTTATTCACAATTTAAAAGAACCTGCATAAACTACATATCAGTATATTTCACATTAAGTATATCTGTAGTCTCTTTTCTTTTGGTTAAAATTATTATATTAAGCCTTTCACATGCTTAAAATGATATATTAATTTTATGAACATTTGCAGTTTGGGCCTGGTGAATAATTTTATGACTCGATATAAAAGTCTTTCCAAGAAAAGTAATTAGTGTTGTTTATTTGATTTATTGCCATTGCCATATGTTGTAAAAAATTAGCAGGTAAGTAATTTTTTTATTGAAAAATATTTTTGATTTATTTATTTGAATTTTTCTGTAGGGATTTCAACAAAATGAATATATGATGAGCGGACAACATAAACAAATCAGCCAATCACCTAATTCTGGAAATTCTGCTAATGTTTTTGAAATAAATTCTCCATATTCTGGTTTCCAATCGCAGCATCATTTATTACCTTTCAATGGCCAAATAACACCAGTTGATCCCATGAAAATAGATCCTCAGAGTCTTCCTAATGATGGTATTATAGAATTTGGAGGGCCTACAATGCATCAGGTAACCAATACACGGCTAAAAAATCTTATTAATAACCGTAAAAGTCAAAAAGAGCAATTACAAAACTATATGCCTTCGCAAAATGTTGGAAATATGTATTCTGAAACTCCTACAAGTCCCCTACCAAACAGACCACTATCTAATGGTAGTGATAATTATGGGCATCCTCCACCATCTACTCCAACATCAGTTCAAAGTAGATCTGGAAGTAATCCAACTGATGCAGGACTGAACAATGAAGAATCTGGTTACTTGGGGCAATCACTTGAGCCTACCTATGAGCCATTACGGAACTTGGCTCCACCTTCTCCTGATTCTGAATTGTCGTGGAGGAAAACTTCTTCTCCCAGCAATTTGGAACAGGAGAATATGCATAATAAAAGTAATGAAAATGGTCATCAGAAATCTGACAAAAATACCAAGAATTATATGAGGAATAATACAAGTCATTCTGAAGAAACATTGAGCTATTCAGGAACTGACCAAGATTCTGTTAATGGCTATTCTTATAGGTCATTTTTTGAGACTGGAAGTTCCCAGGATATTAATAGTGCTGGAATAGAATCCTTTGGTTCTGATGTCCCTAATCAAGATGCATTTTCAGCATCGGTTAATAACTCATCTACTCCTCCAAAATATTCGCCTCAAAATGCACAATCTATGTATGATAATCGATATTTCCAGACTAACGCAGATGTTAATACCTATTCTGGAAGTGTTGGAAATGATACTTCCATAGCCTCTCATGCTGCATATACACCAACATCATCTGGACAGACTAATCGCTCATCACCTTATGCACAACATCACTCACCAGTGACCAGAGAACCATTGCCATCTCCATATGCACAGAATCAGGCTTCACCTTTTGATCGACAGCATAGTGGCAGTAAAGCAGCGGAAACTTCGTCTTCCAGTTGTGTTAATACCTCTGGGACAACAACGCCTTCTGTTGATGTGGTGAGTCGAATTTCAAATGAATCTGCAGAACAGGAGCATTTTTTATTGAATACGACCACATCTATGAATACATATTCAAATATTATCAATTCCTTTAACCCTAACACTTCAACCTTTTCTACATCAAGTGCAGCTGGAACTCTCCCTACTATAGCATCACTCTTCAGTTCTGGGCATACTGTGATATCAAATGCATCAGATTTAGCACCACAGCTGAAGGTATCCTATGTAAATCAAGCACATGGCACCACTGCACATTGGATTGGTGGTGGCCCTCTCCCCTCCACCATAGATAGTGGTCGTAATGAAGAGTTCTGTGGATTAGATGCAACTTCTTTAGGTGGTCTCTTGTCCTCATTGATACCATCATCAGTTTCAAACCCAGCACCAACAAACAGTGCATCAGATACTGTGAAGAATTTTATTTCAAATCAGCAAGAATCAAGCTGGTGGGAGCACCTGAAGACTACTGTTAAGTTAGAAGTGCCTCCTGCATCACCGGATTGCGAAGTCCTTGAAAACCAGCCTTCGAGTCCATCCGCCATATCGTTGCCTACGTCTTTGTAACTCGCATTCCGTTAGTCCCAAAGAGAGAGATCTTGTGGGACTAATTTTTTGAAGTGGGAGAAACATTTTTTATAAAATATAAAATAACTAATTTCGTATTACTTGATGCTCCTCTTCCAAACAGAAATAGTATTTGTTACAAAGTGCCATTTGTCATTTCATTAAAAAAAATGTTTGGCTGAACTTTATTGATTTTAATTATGTCGCAGTTGATTTTTGAGATGCATTGTCATTCATCATTATATTTAAAGTAGTAGCAAATATAGGCCTTAGCAGCTTCTCGTGGCCCAGTATTTTCCTGCATTGATTTCTCAGTTCACGCTGCACATTTTTGTCTACCTCATTTGATTTTAGTTCATTACGCATCATAAGTAATATTTGCCATATATGCAAAATAATTTTAAGTCAAACTCTTAGCTTTATTGTGATTGTTTTATTCAGAGTGATCATGATTTTATACTCAGGACAAGCTTTGGGAACTATATGTTTCTATACTGTGTGGCAACTCCCTTTATTTATTAATGGCAGTGTTACTTAATTTTATGATTCATGAAAGGATTTTAATATCTATCTCTCTATAAATACTTTAGGGAAATAGCTGATATTAAAATTGATGTCAGATTTTGATTAATTTTAATTAGCTAGAAATTAAGTTATAATGTTTATTTTGTATCATTTACTTAAAAAAATTTGTTTTGTTTTTTTATGTTTCAAACTTGCATCCTTGTTCATAAATTCTTCTATAGTTAATACAATTTAAACTTTATTGTCATTTCATTTTATCATCAGCCATTTCTGTATTTCAATTTGCGTTTCAGATCTGATGTTTAATATTGCATGTTGCAGCAAATTTTTATTTTTAAATAAGGTATAATGTTTTCGTAAGAGGACATATCTACTTACTTGATTTCATTTTATTATGAAATGTATTTTAATCTCTTATATTTTGTTTTGATGATGTAGACCTTAATTTAGTATTGACTTAAAATTAAGAAAGGAAAAAAATGAACTTTCTGCATGTGAATATTGGCAGCTTTTATCAAATGCAAAATACACTGCTCCATCAGTATTAGTATTAATTTATTTTATTGTATCTTTTATGTGTGTGTAAATGTTCTAATCATTTAACATGAGTGTGACCGTTTTGTTCATAACATGTTCATAATTTATTTTTTTAGTGAGAAGAAACAATATTGTGATAGTATACCGTCTTTTATCCATTACATAAAGCAATTTTTTAAAGTAATATTAGGTACTTTAAAGCAGTTTTTTACAAGTAGTAATAGGTACATTTCATTGTTTAATAATGCTGTTATTTAAATAATATGAACTTTTGTAGCAATGTTATAATGTTTTTAACCTTTTTCAAACCTTTTTTCTTTCATTAAGTTTAGAGTGAAATTCAGTTGCCTGGTTTTACATTTTAGGGCGTTACAAACTAGCAGTTTGCCATATCCCTCTATTTCTTTTTTTTTTTTTTTTTTTATTATTATTATTATTATTATATTATATTAATTTTTTTTCTTATGTACAGTCAATCTGTGTTTCAACATATGGTTTGATATGAAGCAATCCATGCTTATAATGGAATTTGAAGTCTGTTTTAGAAATACCCAAATGTAGAATTTCACATGAAGACAAAATTTAATGAGAGATACAGCTTAGCTAAAAATATTTCAGTATTTTTATTGCAGTAATATAACCTAGTAATTAATATAGATTTGTAATTAAAAAAATTGGAATATTGTTGACAAATTGATGTATTGGCGAATGAGATTGAGAACAGAAGAATGTATGTGTGTATATGGAGGGGTGTTAAAAATGACTGGATGAAAGATTTTAAAACATCAATTACTTTTAAATTTGAAAGTCATCCAGGGGTAGTTTAATTTAAGTTTTGATCCTGGCCAATGGGATAATGGTTCATGGTAGTTTTCGTGGTTTTTGGCATATGCTGAATAAGCACGAGCTAGTTTACTTGAGAGAGTAGAGCCTGACCAGCAGCTGAGTGGTAAAGCTGCTTAATACTGATAGTTTAATTCCAGGCAAATGCATGGGAGTTTCCGTGTGGTTTTCCCCATGTGTTGGGGTATATGAGCCAATTTTCCTTTAGTCCTCTGCAAAGGCATCCTGTCACCTCTAGCAGATAGCCCTTGTGTACTTTGCTTAATCAAATAACTCAAACCAAACCCTGAGAAAGTCCTCTTAAAAGACACCCTCCTCATAGGCAGATACCCTTTTGTTGTGTCTTGCTTATAAAGGTAATAATAATAACCTAAAACCTCTGTCATTATATTTTTTAGCAGTTAAGAATTTGAGGTGTTTTAATTTGAAAAGGTAGACACTGTTTATATTTTTCCCCCCCTCAAAGCCAGTAAATTTAAAAGATCCTGCAAGGTAGAAATTTCATATTTAACATCTTACAAGAGTAATATTTAGATTAGCTAGATTATTAAGGGAACATACTTGAATGCTATCAATCATACGCCAGTGCCTTTGAGGAGGAATTCAGAGAGAAGTTGAATCAAACTCCTGTCACATGTTGGAAAACCTGCATACTTCTAGTCTGTTTACTTGTCACAGTATTTACAAATTATGAATTAAATGTAAAAGAATAATTAAACAGAGATAACTTAGCTTAAATGATCTCAAGCTTGAATGTATAATTAAACATAACTCCCCCCCCCAAATTACTCGGTAGTTCCCTCATGAATCATATCATAAAAAAGACCAAGCAGGTTTTTTGTTTTCCTTTGCTTGTTGTTGTTGTAAAATATTAAATTGTTAAAAGAATTGTAGAATACCTGAGAGAATTTTTTGAAATCTTGTAGTTAATGTTTTTAAAGTTGCTGAAACTAACGCTGCTGGGATCTTATTCTCTTCTTTTTCTTGGTTTGTATTCACATAAGGTAAATGATATATTGGAACGTTTGGAAAATGCATATAGTAACTGAGCTTTACAGTAGTGTTTCTAAAACTAGTAGGAATTTTATTCATAATTTTAGCCCCCCCCCCTTTGTGTGTGTGTGCCTACTGACTCAAATACACCTAATGGTGCCATAACTATTTAAGTAGTATAATATGACTAAAGTGCTCTAATTTAAAGTGTTTTTCAAGCAATAAGAAAATCAGTGCTATTTTCATTTTCAGAATGTGCCTGCATTTTCTTGATCTTCAGTTTTTGTGTGATATTTTTTGTAGATAATTTGCTGTCGTACAGAAGAAAAAAAAAAAAAAAAAATTGTAAGTGTTTGGAAACGTGTAATTTTTATAGTACGTCTGTTCCTAAAAATGAACTATTTTTACAATTTACTTAAAAGTTTAAAGAATTTTATATGTAATAAAAAGTCATTTCTGTACTGCTAATTTAAATTGCTGTCCAAAAGTACAAAGCTTTTTCAACGTATACTAGTCCATATGTACTTTATGTTTATTAAATGCTGTTTGATAACAGATGTTCAGAGAATGATAGTTTCTATAAATTATACCCTATGCTAAAACATATACAATTTAGCCTGATGCGAAATGATGCCAAAGTGTAATTTTTGTAATTAGTCACTGAAGTCGTGATTTCATGCACATTATGTTTTCTTCTGCTAATGAGCATACAACATTAGTGTTAAGAAATATGTTTTAATGCTTTGTGAAAAAGTTTTATTGGTATATTACAGTGCTAAAGAAATATTGGTACTTTCTGATTAATCTGCATCCCACAGGGTGACTTTCCGTAAATTGGCAAAAAAAAATTATTTTGCTATATTTATAGCTTGTAGCTACTGTTTAGTTCATAAATAATTATAAAAAGCTATTTATAAATAAGACATTTCAAGAAGGAAAACAAAAATCTGTATTATTAATATTTATGTTTTTACAACTGGTAGATACTGTTCAGCGAAATGAATTTAAAAAATACACGCACTGAAGAAAAGGGTAATTTAAAACCAAAATTTGAAATGGGTTGCAGGTAATGAGAAAGTACCAAAATATTTTCCATAGTTATTACTATGGAAGTTATTCTATAGTTATTATTACTTATTTCTTGTAAGACAACTCCATTCAGAGGGTAATTTCAGTTTTGTTTAGAGAGTATGATAAAGGTCGTGATAAAGAACATGACTTATCAGTTATGTTCAGTACCATTATTTATGGTCTTCAGAAGTGGTTACCAGCAGAAAGATCACTCTATGGGATTTATTGACCTTGTGCATTATTTTACTCGTGTAAAATCATAAGTATCTATCTGTATTTAGTCTCAACAATCCAAAAAAGCAAAAGTTAATGTCATATATTTATGTAATAGTGAAAGGGTTATAGTTGCAGGTACGTCATTCAAATTTTGAATCTTAACACAGCTTGGTAAGATTTGAAAACTGAAATCCTAGCCTTTCCCCTTTTTTTCCCTTTGAATCAGAGTCTTTAAAACCATTAGTTATTTTAACTCAAAGCCTTTGAAAGATTAATTTTGTTCATGTCTTAAAGTGTTCATTTTGAAAAGAATGCAGTTGATTATGAATATCATATCATAATTAGCTTGAGTTCCTATTCCTGGAGATAATTGATTATTCCATATATAGTATATATCTGATTAAATCCTGTAATAATGTACTTGCTTTGATTTAATTGATTTATCTCAAAGCCAGTAAAGATTTAACTTGATCTGTCCAGTTCTATCTTGCTTTGATTTTAAAAATACCAGAATATCTAATCTAAAACTTCAGTATACAGCTGCTAAGCCAGACTACCACTGAAAGTGCATTCTAGTGTGGCTTGGTGGATTCCTTTTTAAAGGCCTGGCAGTGAAAGTCCATGAATTTCAATTTCTTAAAACAAATAAAAGCTGGGATTGTTGAGAGTAAAGAAGGCTATACTTATACTGCCTGAAGGCAGTATAATTTAGATTCATTGCTCTGTAGAATTATAAAGAGATGAGTAGACAGTAGTGTAAGTATGGAGTTTAACTTAACACTTCAGCAGGTGTGAAATTGAACAATTCTTTCTTCCCAAATACATGCAATATCTGTCAGTTATGGCATTTGTGTTCACATGATGGCATTTATGTTCTTCTTAGATGTTTTGCTAAGTGTCACTGTCTTTGAGCTAGGAATAGACTTTTTTGAAAGGGAAAATATGAATGCATCTTTATTTGATGCTGATTCTTAAGAAAATAATAAAATGTTAAATGCTATAACAAATTATTGCATTTTTTAAAGTAACAAGACATGTTAGAAAACATAATTAAAATTATATGCTTTAATGAATTACAAATCATTAAAGCATAT